CTATAGTTCTTCATTTTTTTTTTTACTGGAATTGTTTTTCCCAGCTGAGATGCAGACAAATGATCGTTAGTCTTGATGAGTTGACATCAGGTGTCAAGTAGAACTTGTAGTTTTAATTGACCAACAATGGCTTCTTCTCTTTCCTTGTCTCTGATGCTGCTCTCCAGTTTCTCACTGCACTTCCCCCCTTTCTTCCGTCTTTTCCCAATACTGAGCACTCCCTGCAGGAATTTCTAATACACAATGTTTGGGGTCAGATTTGAAAATGATTGTTTTTAAGGAGTAAGAGGATATTACAGCAAGGTGTAGCCCAGAATCACCTCACACTCGCTACATAGCCAAGGCAGTCCTTGAACTTCTAACCCTTCTGCCTCTTCCTTCTATAATACATATTATATTATGTATATATAAATGTATACATATATTTAACTCGTTTGTAATTCATTTTCTCTGCCATAAAATGTACATAGTTCCCCCAACAAACCTGATTTTTGCTTATTTACTTATTTGAGACAAGATCTCTATATGCCCAGGCTAATCTCAAACTTGTCATGGAGCTGAGGAGTACCTTGGACTCCTGGACATCTACCTCACAAGCATCCCATCTGCTTTTGTGGAATAGTAAAACCAAGCAACACTGTTTGAGAGCAATGGTTTTCAACTCCAAGTCGCTCAGCTTGAAAATGCAGAAAACAATTTCCCTTCCCTCTGTCCTGTGTCAAACTGACATAACCCAGACTTCAAGGGTCCAGGAATTGGCGTATTTTAAAGGATGCTTGGATAGCTTCAGTGTATATCTACAATTGAAACTCATTGCTGTCTGTGTTCTGGAAAAACTGGTAGAACAATCAGTTTTTAACTCTAGAGATTCCCTAAAATAAAGATTCTACATTTCAGTAAGTATTTGCCTTAGTTAGTGTTTCCGTTGCTGTGACACGATGACCAGGGCAACTTTTATAAAGGAAGACATTCAATTGTGGTGGCTATCTTACAGTTCAGAGGCTTGGTCCATTATTATCATGGCATAAAGCAAGGCAGCATGCGGGCAGATGTAGTGCTGGAGCAGGAGCTGGGAGCCCTACATCTTCCCATGAGGTAACAGGGTGTGGTCTGTCTCAACAGAAGTAGCTTGAGCATAGGAGACCTCAAAGCCCACCCCCAGAGTAACAACCCACTTCCTCTAAAACAGCCATACCTACTCCTACAAAGGCACACCTCCTAACAGTGCTAGTCCCTTTGGGGTCCTTTTTTTTTCAAACCACCACAATATTCAACAGAAAGCATGTTTGTATGTTCACAGACATAGTGTAGGGTCAATTTAGGCACACACATCTGAAATGTGGGGGATGGAATAAATTCATCTTCTGCCCCTTTTAAGAACCCAGTCAGTATTTTACTTGGGACATCGATTCTGCCTAATGCAGCACACTGTGAAATAGAGATAGAATGCAAATTATCAGTAAAGTAGAAAAAAAAACATGAAGAGTGATTTGAAGCTGACGGTGGTAAGTTTTAAAATCATGGCCACGAACAGATATAATTTTCCACCATCCTTTGGCTTCCAGGAAAGAACCTTCTCAGGTGTGTTTACTTGCATTATCTCCAGTGTGGTGACTCGTAACTGCACACCCAAGAACCTGGAAATCTCTGAAAGAGCCGGGTTCCGATCTGGATACGCACGCCGGGCTGTTGGCAGAGAGCTCTTTTTCGCAGAGTTTTCACTTCATGCTTCCCGTGAGGTACACGGCAGCAGAGACTCCATTCCAGATGGCATTGCTGGCTAGCAGTGGCTTTCTCCCCTACATTTGGCAACCTCACTCAGAACTGATGTTTTCAATTCCTAAAAAACTTCCAGCCTACCCCGCTTTAACAGGATCGTGGGGGAGCCTCGGGTGGAACAGACACATCGACACATCTCCTTAAAGGTCCTGCAGCTATGAACATCTGACATCTGTACCGGTAGCAGGACTTAATGCAGACTTCAGTGGGATTTAAGTGGTGTGTTGTCATTTGAAAGGTGCTGCTGAAATCAATTACGTTTTCCACGCTTGCAACTTTTAGGGTTTTATTTTTCTTTTGTGGCAAACCTGGGGCCTCACGAATGCCAGGCAACCATTCTACCGCTGAACTATAACCTCAGCCCATTAGGGGAGTTTTGGACTTTGAGAAAACAAAACTGAGCTAATGGACGGCCATTTAAACATAGCTTCCTATTAAATGGGTTTCCTCTTTCCTAGCAATGAAGATTTCTAGCTATAACTTGCTCATTGTTCAATAATAATAATGATAATAATAATAATAGTCATTAGAATTCAAATGCCAGTGTATAAGCAGCAATAAATACATCCCTCTGAGGTATCTCACATTATGACTGGGAAAACCAGCTTTCTGCAAGCTACTGACCTGGCTGGAGGGAGATCATAGCCCTCCCAAGGGACCAGTACAAGATTCTGCCAGCTAGTTGCCTGCCTGCCAGTCTTGCCATCAACTCATTCAGAATGTTCTAGAACAGGCATTTCATTCTTGTCATTTATTTCTACTAAGTAGAGGATGATAAATCTTGTTCTGTAGTTTGGTATTTAATCCAAGAAAGCAAGCAAACCAAAAAAGAGAAAGACTGTGGTTCTTGGTCCACTTTTCTGGACACTTGTATCTTCAGGCTTCAAAGATGCCACATGATCATTTTCGTCAGAGATTTTAATGAAATAATAAAAAGTATTTGCTGCATGTGCTCTTCCTGAATCTGGCCTGGCTCCTCCCAGCTCCTCAGATTTATTGTGTGCCACTCCCCATCCTCCCTAAAGCACAAACCCACTGGGAGTCCTCCCTGTTCCCAAAGGAAGTAGTTCAGTCACATAATGTCCCGTTTGTAATCAACCCTGAGAAATGTCACTTTGATTAAACACAACTCTGAATGACTGAAACCACAATACAGTAAAGTCTCTGCAGCTATCTTTCAGAACAACTGATTGCTCTCCAGTCGCAATCCTCCAGAGTCTTATTTAATCAAAATGATGTTGCTAATTAAGGATTGAAACCTCCAAAGAGAACGAAAAAGAAGGATTTCATTGTCCTCTGGGCAGGTCGAGGAGGCAGAATTTGCTAAGAGGAAACGAACATCCCTTCTTCCTTTGACAGACCCCATCCTTCCCTTGCATTAGAACTTGATCCAAAATAGGCTTGAGTGTTTTGTAATATTAATACGAGGGCGTGGAGAGAAGAATGAGGAAGAGGAGGAAATCGCTTGTATAGCTGCCTACACATAGATAGCATCGACTCTAAAGGTTTTTCATTTAATGCATTTTTTAAAATTTCAGATGGGTGTGAGTGCTTGGCCTCCACATGTGTATGCGAAGCAGCTGCCTGCCTGATTTCTTCCTAGCTCAGAAGAGGGGATCAGGCGCCCTGGAACAGGAGTTGTCGGTGGCTTTAACCACATGTGGGTACTGGTAACAACCAGGCTTGAGTCCTCAGCCAGAGCAGCAAGTACTTCTGACTACTGAACCGTCTCTCCAGCCCTCATTCAATGTTTGCAAGATTAACCTTTTTCAACATTTTTGTCTGGTGCCGTCTGCCTTGATTTACCCAGAGATAACAGTGATGGAGAAATGGCTAGTCTAGACAATGCTGGGAACCCATTTTACACACACACACACACACACACACACCAAAAGAACAAACCAAACCAGAACCCAAAATAAAGCAACAACAAAAACAAGAACGCCCAACAAACAAACCAACACAGAGTGAAAGCAATGCTTCTCTGGTAGCTCTCAGTTGTTGTGACAAATATGTAGGTAACAATCAACTTAAAAGGAGGGAAGTATTATGTCCTAACTCCTGAGATTTCAGTGAGTCCTTGGTGGCCTGTCCCACTGCTACGGAGTCTGTGGCAATGCAGTACCTTGTGGCTATGGCTGGAGCCAAATGGTCAAACAAAGCTTCTTACCTAATTGTGCCCAAGAAGCAAGCAGAACAAGAGGAAAGGGCCAGAATTCCAGTGTCTCCTTCAAAACCCTAACTCGTGGTTTTTTTTCAAGACTCCACAACGCAAAGGTCCTACAGCCTCTCCATGGAACCATAAGTCAGGGACTAAACCCTCAATACGTGGGTCTTTGGGGAGACATTTTGGCTCTAAATAGAATTCCCTGAAACACTAGCTGAAAGGTGTGAAATGGCTGTCTTGCAGACTTTAATGGTGGCTCACAGCTGTTTGATACCCACCAATGGCAGAGAGCACCCAAAAGAAATTCCACACTAATTTGTGAACAGTGACTCTTCCTTAACTTCCAGCTCTCATTTATTTTCTTGAATTTTTATTTTACAATATGGAAAATGGTTCCTTTAAAAAACATATAGGGCCTGGAGCTATGGCTCAGCAGATGGAGGGTGTACTATGTAATCGTGAGGATCCAGGTTCAGTTCTCTGTATTGCTTTGCAGCCTGTCCTGGAACTCTGGAACTTGCTCTGTAGACCAGGCTGGTCTCGAACTCTGCCTCTGCCTCCCGAGTGCTGGGATTAAAGGTGCATGTGCCACCACTGCCCGGCAAATTAATCCTTTTTCAAGAAGTTGCTGGTTCTGGTTTACATGTGTTCACTATTGTTTTTTAAGATTTATTTTATTGTTTATTTGTGTCTTTGCGCATGTGTCTGCATGCCTATATGTGCACACTTACGTGTGTGCCTGCCGAGGCCAGAAAAGGACACTGGATTTCCTGGGACTGGAGTCACAGGCATCTGTGAACCACTTGACTTGGGTGCTGGGAACCAAACTGCAGTCCTCTGGAAGTGCGTCAAGTGTCCTAAACTGCCGAGCGACGAACTGCCGAGCGATGTGTCCAACCTTGACTATCATCATTGACTGAGCCATTGTCGTAGATGTCACCACACCCGCTCTCACCTACCTAGCCCAGCCAATGAGCAAGGCCATATAGTGGGAAAACCCCAACAAGGAAAGAACACTATAATTATGGTTTTTCTCCTAGTCAGTGCCACTTACCAGTTAAAAAAAGACGTTGGCTTCTTTGATTCCTCTTCCTGAAGGCCATAAGCGTCCAGTGGACAAACGACAGCTCTTATTCCGCCCGTCCCCAGGCAGAGGGTCAGCAGTGCTGTGTGAAACAGGCCGGCCCGCTCCTCCACGGGCACGTTGTTAACCACAGGGTAAGAGCCTCCATAGGAATCTTCCAAGGGAAAAGCAAGCGCGGATAACAAAACAGTGCCTGTTGGCAGAGGGAACAGGAGGATATGACTAGCATAGACCTGCAAGACTCGCCGAAGCGCACCCTAAATAAACGCTTTCCCGCGGAAGGCTCATGGGAGTCTTCCTAGGGTACTTGTGTAGATCGCTGCGATTCCGGGGATCACTGACTTCTTACTAGCATACTTATGTCAGTCGCTGCAGTTCCGGGCATGGCTTGGGTTTTCTAAGTGTGAAAACTCTGTGGCTGGAGGGATGGCTCAGTGGTTAAGAGGGTGCTCTGCTCTTGTGGAGGACCGAGTTCGGCTCTGTGCTGTTTGGGTATCAGGTACCTTCTCTCCTGGCCAGGCTGCACTTGCGCGCACAAACCCAGCTCTCCACACACATAACTGAGGCCAAGACAACAAACTCCTAACATTTTCATTCATTTGTAATTGGGGGGCAAGAGTGCGCCCTGGATCATGCAGACCAGTCAGGAGGAGACTGGGTGCGGAGTGACATCCTTTCCACCTTCGCCTTGTGGGCCCTCACTTGATGGCTCCACTCATCAAACGGAGGTCACTGTGCAGCCCTGTCATTCTCTAACTAGCCCATCCCTTGTCGAGCGAGCATTTTCAGGCGCTATGCTGTTTACCCTTGAAACTAACATTGAGATGTCAGTTGGTAGAGCTCTCTTCCTGTTCTGTCCACTTCTCTTTCTCCTCCCTCCCTCCCTCCCTCCCTCCCTCCCTCCCTCCGTCCCTCCCTCCCTCCCTCCGTCCGTCCCTCCCTCCCTCCGTCCCTCCCTCCCTGCCTCCCTCCCTCCATCCCTCTTTCCTGTGGTACTAGGGCTGGACCCCAAACCCTCACCTCCATTATGCATTCAGTCACCAAGCTACATCCCCAGTGCTATTAATGTTATTTTGTTCATTTGATTACTTCTGTTCAACTACTTTGACATTGCCGTTTTTGGTATGAATTTTTATAAAGTGGTTCTGGGCAGTTAGTTCCTCGATTAGATCTTAAGCTCCATAGAAGTATAAATTGGGAGCACATTTAACGTCTTTTCTGTGTGACTTTACCTTGAGGAGAGCATATGCATTTGATTGTCATTCAGCAATGGGCTAATTTACCTTGAGAGTGGACCCTTAAAGTTGTTGAGTTTGAAGTGTTTTCTTTCAGGGTCAGCTGGATGTGAAACAACATGTTTCTCTACTACTTAATCTCCTTCTTCGGAAGTGTGGTGCGAGGTTTGGCAGTACCAAGGGCTGCCCAACAGCTCAGCTGGTTCCTGCAGCAACCACCCGTTTAAGGACGTTCTGCTCTAGACCTCATGATGCCTCTGTGTAAGCCCCCAAAACATCCTGTTTCCATCCTCTGAGAAAATGTCACAACACTCTGATTTCATTAGATCAAGACTTCATTTTTTATCTTCAATGAAACTGATGCGGCAAAAGTACAAATCTGCGATAGATCTGATAGGAACTTCTTTTCTTGATGTGTGCCATTGTGTCCTGCATACATCTCTGCCTGTATCTGTGAGTGCTGGGAAACATGTTGTCATATCTTATGTGAGACTCAGGAGTGGGCACATCAGAAAAAGCAGAGATGCAGAGAACAGGTGCATGGCAGAAGCGTAAGTGCAGTCGTGTAGATTGCGCGCATGTGTGTGTCCTGGCACATGTGTGTAAATGTATGTGTATTATACCTTAGGAGTGATCCACTTTGTTTTTGAAGATAGGAGTATCTCAGTGACCTGGTGCTTGCCAAAGTGGCTAGTGGCGGGTAGTGGTTTCCTCTTAATTGAAGCGTTCTTTCTAGGGGAGAGAGGGGAGGTCAGGAGACCCAGGAGGCGAACTAAATTCACCAAGTCCCCTCCCTGGAGGCAGCAAACCAGTGCTGGGGGAGCTAAGATGCAGACAGGAGAGTGCCTGGCCCTGGAGCTGTCGGAAAATTGTTTAAGGAGCCGTAGGGACGTGGATTTCAAGTCATCACACAGGCTGGAGTGGGCTTTGTGCTGGTGGGACTCCTGCTCTTGAGTCATCCCTATAAATTATCTCTCACCCATAATACTATTAGTAATCCCAAATAAAAACTCACTGGTTTACCAAATTTGTTTTTGATGTAATTATTACTTCAGTTGTCATAGGTTCCATATCTGGGGTGAATAGGGTGTGTGTGTGTGTGTGTGTGTGTGTGTGTGTGTGTGTGTGCAGGCAGCGTGTCTCCAACTCCCAGTGTAGAACTAAAATTGGGTACCACCACATCATGTATTTGGACACTGGCTCTGGGATGAATTCGTGTCTTGGTGCTTGCATGTCAAGCACTTACCAACTGAACCATCAATCTCCCCAGCCCACGCAGTTGTCTATGTTTGATAACAGTAAGGCCAAACACAGAGGGTGCAACAGTAAACACCGGTCTTGACAAAATGGCAGGAGTTTTCAAAACCTCAGGTACAGAGTGAAAACTTGAAGAAGTTAACTCTTTCAGACAGAGTGGAAAATGAATGAATGAATGAGGGAGAAGTAGGGACGTAGCAAAGATCTCAATGCCACTGGAGTTGGCCGTAGACTATTCCAGGGTATTACATTTCATATAAATTATAAATGTCTGATAAGCTAAATTTGCAGCTTATTTTTTAGATAATAGAAACAATATGAATTCATTCTTTTTCAGAAAGTCATGTTGGTAAAAAAGAGTTATGTGGGCTGGAATTGGAGAGATTACTGGCAGCTCAGTAGGTAGGCCATTGTCAAGGAGAAAGCTGCATTTTTTAATCTAAATTGATATCAATTCAGACAGAGGTCATACTTTGGTTAGAATCTCTAATACTTAGTAACAGGTTGCAATGTCCTGGTAGTTGCGAGAGGAAAATCTGGGGTATAACTTGTAGAAGAAAACAAAGCCAAGCTTAGCACCACAGGATTACAGTCCATCTGCCTGGGAGGCTAAGGTAGTTTCAAGGCCTCAAACTACACAGTGTTTTCTAAGACCTTCTGGGCAAGCTAGAAAGACCCTGCCTCAAAATAGGAAGGTTAGAAGGGATGGCGATATAGCTTAGTGGTGGAGCGCTTGCTGTCCAGTCAAGGAGAACTCCTCTTTCCCACCTTGGCGTAGCTACCTCCCCATCAGAAAGTGACCCCTGATACACAAGAGCAGTGTTGCCAATGTCCCCTCACCCAGCTCTACTGTCTTCATAGTTATTGCTGCTGACAGGGAACCTCTTCACCTGGAGATTTTCTCTCTTCAATTGAAAGTCAAGGTCAGAAGAACTTCATTGTTTTCCCTTTGCTTGCTTCTTAGACCCCAAAACAACACATTGCCATAGACTAGGCAGGAACAAACATTCCCCCCCCCAAACATGAAGGAATACCTGTCACCCAGATCAGTCTCTATGTCACAGAATTTGAGTAGTGATGGTCACAAGTTGGAGTCAGGCGCTCATCAATTTCTTGGATGGCTGATTCCTTTTGCTTGAAATCCAGGGCTTCTGGCCCCCAGTGTCTACCATGCTTCCTCACAGCCACCAGCCAATGTCTACGCCGACTGCCCTACTTGCTATGCATCAGCAGCACACTAGCTGCCAGGTTCTCCAGCTCAGAACCTGAGAGGTTGTCTCAGGCCCTTCATCACATGAATGCCTTTCTGGGAATAGCCACCAGAGTATCACATCTTCACTCTTGCCCAAACCACCATGCTGAGACTTTCTGACTCTCCAACGAGTCAGCCTCGTGTGTGTGGCTGTGTGTTGTTTGTTGAAGTAAGCCATTTCATGGCTGTTGTTTCCATCCTCTCCTCTTCTTGCTTTTCTGGGAAGAATGGCTGAATGATCCAATGAAAGGTTGTGAGCCAGGGCCAGGGAGACGGGTCAGTGGGTAAAAGTGCTAGGCAAGCAACCTCGCAGACCCTGGACCCATGTAAATGGCTGGATTGGGTGGCACACATCTTTATCCTTATGCACATATGTTAAGCTAGGAGGCATACGTGGGAGAAGTGGTTGGAAGCTCACAGGCCAGCTACTCTGGCATGCATGTCTCTCCAGCAGAAACAAGGGAGACTCTGCCATAAACAGGATGCAAGGTTGTCTTCTGACCTACACATGCACACACACACACACACACACACATGCACACACACACATGCACACACACATATGCACACACACACACACACACACACTTGCAGACTATCCATCGCTTGCTCTTTATGCCCCACTAAGCATTCCCAAGCCTCTGGAGTATGTTTATTTTTCCTTATGTAAACAATTATAATGCCCTGCCTGAATTACTTATCTTTAAATCATCTAACCGTAGTTGAATACATTTATATGAAACCTAATTACTATATGATTAATTATAAACCCAAACACTTCTTAGTTATTCTACATGAACTTCAGTGACCCCTTTTAGCATATTTAATCTAGTTGTGAAGCAAATGAATTGCATGTTTCATAAAGGATTTGTCACAAATTTCAGTTGGAGCACAAAGAGGGAAACAAGGACATTCTAAGGGGTACAGCAGATTGACATGCAAAGATATAATTAGTCAAAATGTAGTACTTAGAATGCTGGAAAACATAATATATACACATCTACTAATAACCTAGATAATATACAGGCTGAAATAACATGCCTCATTTATTATATTTTATCCTAAGAACAGGGTGGGAATACAATAAGCTAAAAATTCTAACAAAAACTTATTCAGTGACAAAACCCAAAATTCAGTTAGCAGGGGACACTCACCTAGAAAATGTAGCACTAAGGATATGTACACCAGTTTGTTCCTTCCGAAGTAGCTATCTGCAAGCCATCCCACAAACACAGGGATGAAGACTGAGGCCCCAATAAAGCACACGTTGAGAATGGCTGCCTGGTGGTTGTAGTAGCCCAGCTTCACTGTACAAAAGGGGATCATGTTGCAGACGACTTCAAAGAAGGTCAACTTCTCGGACAGTTCCACCAGAAGCAAGCAGATTCCAATCTGGAAACACCCGAGATGTCTCACTGTCTTCTGCTGCCCAGGGCTACCTTGTAAGGCTAGTTCATCAGTGATGATGAAGTCTGTTTCAGGCATGACGACTTCCCTTGAATGCTACTATGTGAGTTGCTTGGATTTGGTGTTTTGGGTTTTTGTTTTGTTTTGTTTTTAACCCCATTCCTCTAATGAAAAAAAAATTAAGATGGCTGCCTTGAATTTCACAGCTCCATGCTAAAATTTCTTCAGGATTTTTGCACATTAATGTTATTCCTCTTGACAATGTACAAGTCCAAGAAAGAAGACCGCAACATTTAAACTCTCAAGGCTCAGCATAGCCAAATCTGATTTGTTTGTTTAATTACTGGGAGACTAAATTAGATGCTGCTTCCAAAATTATATTGAATTACGTGATTCCAGTTGCATACATATGGAAGTTCATCTGCCTCACGCAGATAAAGGTTTAAATATAGAGGCAGAAGGAACAGTTTTTCAGGGGAATTTGAGCACCAGATCAAGAAATAATTTGAGTCTAATAATTTCTGATATTTTAATTAAACAAGCCAGAATAGTGCCAAGAGATAAAGTGCAGAAGGAAATCTGTTTTGAGGAGTCAGGGTACCTTATCATGATTACATTTCTTGTTGTTTTTGCTTAGGATTCTGATAAGAAAGTTAATTAGGAAACAAAAGTGCTGGTACATTTAGGTAACGAGCAGAGTTTACAAGGAAGTAATTTAAGCTCTCTAATGAAAGGAGAAAATATTAAATAAATTCCACTTCCTTTAGGTTGACCCCATGCTTGTAGAACAGCCCCTCAGAGGAAATCAGAATCAAAAGGTGCCATTTGACTCACTGGTGATTAATTGGCAGTCAGGAGTTTGTCAAGGAGCCTATACTTGCTTTGGGGGAATATTGAATCTAGCAGAAGCCTGACCTTCCAACTGAGTGAATGGAAGGAGGCAAGCATTTCACTTTGGAAAGCAAGAAGTCATCAATTAGGCTAAAGAAAGCAGTGGTGGATGAGAACATCTCACCATTTTGTGTTTAGCTACTGGGATGCAGGGAGACAAGTGAATGGAATTACTGGGTCAACTTGTAAAACTTTAACAAGCGGGACTTATTTTCATGCTGCAGTACAAAAGCAAAGGTTGATCAAGGCTGTGGACTTCGGTCCTCATCGTTTGTCCCAAGAGGACAGAGCTTTGATTTGGCCCACAGTAGCAATCTCTCTGTATGGTGGATGTTTTAATCTGCCCAGCCTGTCTGTCCCTTCCTTGGCTATCGTCTCTATTGTGGGTTGTATATGAATGTCCCCATGTGCTCATATGTGTCAATCAATACTTGGCCCTTGTGGGAGGATTGTAGAGTCTTTAGGAGGTGGTGACTTGCTAGAGGAAATGGGCCACTGGGGGTGGGCTTTGAGGGGACACCTGGGGTGCTATTTTCTCTTGGCTTCCTCTGCACAGGTTCTGTGTGATCAGCCGTCTTCCTGCTTGTCCACCATCATGCTCTCCCCGACTGTTGCCAAGTCTTCCTCCCCATGTTGACCTCTGCCCTTTGGACCTGTAAACCCAAATAAACCATTTTGCCCAAGGTTTCCTTGTGTAAAGTTATTTTATCACAGTAACGGAAATGAAACTAGTGTTATGTCTTATTTTTCTCAGTGTGGGATAATCACACAATTTGTCCCTTAAACTTGAACACGTCTGTGAGAGTAAAGTGATGTTCTGTTCTGTGTACTTATTCCTGGGAAATGGATATACATATAGACTGCATGGAGCAAAGTTCAACCTGTGTTGGAGAATGACTCCTACTGTTACAGGAGGTCACCGTGGACCTGGCCATCAGAGATTCCCTGCAAAAGCCAACAGGAGGTGGGGTCTACGTAGTGAAAATAGGTCACTGAGGACACATCTTTGAAGGCTGTGTAATGTCCAGGTCCCTTCCTGTGTTTACTTTTCTATGCTTCCTGGCCTCCATGACGTGAACCTCTCTGCTTTCCCACACCGTTGGTTGGTGAGGTGGCTCCGTGAGTAAAGGCATTTGCCTTGCTGACCGTGTGGCCTGAGTTCAACCCCTAGAACTGACATAAAAGTGGGAGAAAGCAATTGATTCCAAAACAGGCGTCCTCTGACTACCACATGTGTACTTTGGCATGAATGACCACATATATGCTTCACACACACACACCTACATACACAGACACACACAAACACACACAGACACAGAGACACGTATGCATGCATGCACACACAAAATAATAATAATAACATAAAGTTTTAAAATTCATGGTGGAATGACCCAAGAATGGACATATGGACTCTGAATCACCCAGATGGCAGGACATAGAAGACGCTAGCTAGCCATGAGGCCCTGGTGAAACCTCAGTGCCTCCTGGTTCTTCCCCTGACAAATTTGCCCACTGTGAAACACTCAGGCCATTCTGATCTTTGATTTGATTAAGTTAAAAAAAAACATTGTGGTTTCCTTGATTTACAGAAACCACAGGAAAGTTAACCTTACCACCAGCCAGGAAGTTTCTCTCTCTTATGTTTGACCCACGTGTGAGGAGCTGATCACTGGGGATATAAGCTGCCTCCCTAGTGGGTGTCTCGGTAGTCTCTTTCTACAAGCAGAACAGTTCTCCTCCTTGCACTGGCCTCTGGTGAGCATGCTGGAATTCTTGGCCTCACAACCAGACCACAGGTGGTGAGAACTTGTGCTTTGGAAACTTTTCATCTGTGAGAATTACAGAGGTCGCCTGCTTCAGCAACCTTCAGGAGGGCAGAGAGAACCACTTACACTGAGGTGAGGCTTCCTGGAGTTTTCGGTGCAGCAGGGGAAGTCTGATAGGGCTGTGATAAGGACAAAGCAGTTAGTGAAAGGACAGTCACTGAGTTTGGAGACGAATGAAGTGGTGGCCCTGCTCTTTCCCTTTCGGTCTGTGAGTCCATTGCACCAACCGTCTGCAAAGCCTGTGTCAGAAAGTCCCAGAGGGAGCTTAGTGAAGAAACGACCGAGGACAGGTCACAGATCTCACACAAAAGCCTCTGCTGTTGCGTGTCTCTTTATATCTGTATTTCTCAGCTGCTCTAAGAAATGAATCTTTGGGAAAGATGGAGCCATCTTCAGATCCTGCTTGCACAGAACGCAGATGTCAGGAAGCTGGATTGTACTAAGTGGAAATGAAGCAATGGAAAACCCCTTCTTATTTGTATCTTTCCTACCAGTCCCCCACCCAGATTATTTATTTATTTGCTTATTTATTTTATATGTGTAAGTACTTTTCCTACGTGTATTTACACCACGTGCATTTCCATTACCAGTGGAGTCTAGAAGGAAGTACTAGATCCCCTTGTTATGTTAAAGACGGGTGTAAGTTTCATTGCAGGGGTCAGGAACAAAGCCTGGATCCTCTACAAGAGCAGAAAGTGCTGTTAATCACTGAGCCATCTCTCCAGCCCTTCCTAACCATTCTCAATGCCAAATGCAGAGGGCACTCAAATGACAAGTGCCAGATGCTCTTGAGAGTGACGTTTAGAAGGGGATTTTGAACGTCATCCTTTTTATTAATAAAACTGTTCCTGGACACTGGAGGCGTGGCTCAGTGTATGAGGACCCATACCACACAAGCCTGAGGTCTCAGTGTAGGTTTTTGGAGCCTGTGGAGAAGCCACAAGGTGAAGAGCAATGTCCAGTGCCTGAGGCTGTCCTCTGACCTCCATATACATGGCATGGCATGGGCACCTGCACACTCCAACATCTACATATACACAAAAACAAACATGAAGAGTGGGGATTTGTAGATTTTTAAAGAAGGCTATGAAATTGCAGTCAGTCTTCCGCGCTTTTGTTAATGTTCATGGCTGTGTGCACAATCACAGTGTTCCCCTGAGTCTTCATAAGATTCTCTTACTTATTTTATTATTGAGAATTTTAGACAATGTGGTTTGATCATAGTCACCCCACATTGGCAAATCTTCCTGGCTTCTGGGCCTAGGTGTGGCTGGGTTGGTCAGTCCGCCAGCTCTTCCTTCCCCCTCACTGCTAAGGTCAACTCTACTCTGTTTCCCAGGCAAGGTTTGGGGCCCACCTGAGTGACGCAGTTGGTGAGGGCCAGGGCCAGTTCTCCTGCTCTCAAGCCCCTGGGCCAGCTCTCACGCCTGGTACAGGTGGCAAGGGGCTTAGGGAGGGTATCTTTCTCTTGGCCACACCACCACACGGCTAATGGGGGTGATGGGTCAATTCCCTCATTCTCAGGCCCTCATGAGGGCCTCCTCCAACAGGGTCAGCTCAACTGTGCTGCCCAGGAGAGGTGCAGGGCCTGTTCTCCTGAGTGCTGCAACCAGGGAAGGGCAGAGCCAACTCTGGGCACACCTTTTCTCACGGCTTTTGGTGGTAACAGGAGCCATGAACATCAACACAGACTGTGACTGCAATACAGACACAGAGTTAGACATGGCCCCTGGGTGGTAAGCAGGGTGTTCCTCATCACCTTTGCTCCTTCAGAGCTGTCTCTCTCCACAGGACATGAACCATTCTGCCCCCACCCTTGCATATCCTGCTGTGTATTAGCTCACCATAATGGCACTGAGCAGGCCCTTGGTTTGGTCTACCCACCCAGGGCAAGTGGTCCCAAGCAGTCACGTGGGTGTCCTTCACCTGCCCCATGGTACTGGGACCCTTCTTCATATTCTTAGCGTACTGTGCACAACTCTCTGTTTCAATGCTTGTTACATTTTTGTGTATTCGTTTGTATGCCTTTCTTTTTATTTTTGCTAATCATGAGTTCTTTGAAACTTGGGGAAACCTCATACTTTACTTTGCTTGTCCTCTGTTTGGAGAGTGCCTGGGCTTTACCAGCTATGTCAATCTATGTTCTCTGCCTTATGGTGGTGGCCCCATGTGACATACCAGACCCTTGAATATTTAGCATATTACCATGCCTGGTGTTGCAGCCTGTAATCTAATCTATTCAGGAGGCTGAGGCAGTAGAGTTATAAATTCTGCTTCATCTCCAGAATGAGTTGAATGCCAACATGGGCAACACAGTGAGACACTGTGTCAGAATAAAGTATAAGAAGGGAAGGAGATACT